GGGACTCTATAGCCCAAAGATTTGACCCCTTTGCATCAAGCCAGATTCCTTAGAGATGAGTCCTTGCACCAAAAATATGCCCAAGGACTAACTAGTTAGTAAGTTTGGATCATATCATCCAAGGACTCCCTAGTTGTGCAAACTCTGCATGTGGGCAATGTTCATTGACTAGCACACATTTCCCTGGGAAGGGAACAGCTGCAGCTACTTCTGCTGCCCAGAGAACTAACAGAGACCAACTCTTACTCTCCAAGCCTTGCGAGTTTGAGACGGAAATCCAAGCCTCCAACAAGAACACTGGAAAGACCAGCAACATCAGCTCTGAGGAGTTTGTTCTTCATGGGGCAGCAGGTTATCGTGGAAAGATGTGGGTTTAGAATCTGAGAGATCCTAGCTCAGATCCCAGCTCCTAGTAGCTACCAGTCTGGCCTCTAAACCTGTTCCCTCTTTTGTGAAATGGGGGTGATATTCTCTATTTCGAGAGGTTGTGTGAGCATTAAATGAGTATGTAGAACCATATTGTTAGGACCCAAATTCTGGCTCCCCTGTAACTTTACCCTGGGCAAGCTACCTAAGCTCTTCTGTGTCTGTGTCACTGGAAGAATGGGGTTAAGGAAAACTCCATCCGTTCTACAGGAGGGACCAGTGATGAAGTCTCAGTCAGAGGCTGAAAGTCTGTAAGCTTCCTGAAGAGACCCTGGTGCGTATCCACATTCCAGCTGAAGACTCTGGAGTCTGATGTCCATAGCGATAGGAGCAGCCAAAATATAAACAAACAAAAACAAAAAGAAGAATCAGGTTAGTAAGTGCAGGGAAGCTTCCCTCTCCCTCCACTTTTTGTTGCATCCAGGCCCCAGCCTGTTGGAAGGTGTCACCCATATTCAGGGCAGGTCTTTCCCCTCAGTTCACTGACCCACATGCAAATAGTCTCTGGAAACACCCTCACAGACACACCCCAAAGTATGCGTCACAAATTTCTAGGCAACTCTCAATCCAGTCAAGTTGACAACAAAGATTAGCCATCATGGGCAGAAAATATGTCAACAAACTACTTACCGGAAATGTGTGCTTCCTTTCGAGAAAAAGGAAAACCTACCCTAAAGGTGGAGTCTCAGGATAGAGCAACGGGCCCTAAAGATGGAGTCTTGAGCCAGACAGGATGATTACCAGTTCTTAAAACCGAATGTATTTTCCATTGGATTTTCAAATTGCTCAGAAGCAGTGGCTCCTCTCTTCTGTCCATTTCCTCCTTTCAGAATGGAAAGTCTGTCATCCTGTACCAGTCCCAGCATTATCTCTTGGAAACAGGTAACTTAACAGATGGGGATTCTGCCCCAGGATGGATCATAGAGTGTCACAGATGATTGACTTAAATGATGCATTTGGGACTTTGGGGTTGGGTCATGTTTATGTGAGATTTCAGACATTAGTTGATACAATTAGTTGTTATAATGGGTTGAGAGGGTGGAAGGTTTTAAAATGCAGATGAATTTACTTTGCATATAGGATGAACATGAACCCCGAAGGATCATGGTGGTAGACTGAATGAGTCTCCCAGAGATATCAGGTCCTGCTCCCTAGAATCTGTGAATCCTACTTTATGTCCAGAAAGGACATCACAGATATGTGTCAAGTGAAGATCCTGATATGGAGAGATAATCCTGAATTATCCAAGTGGGCCCTGATGCAATCATGTGTGTCCTTATCAGAGGGAGGAGAGGGAGACCTGCACCCACATGAGAGAAGTCAGGGTGATTGTGGAGGCAGAGACTGGAAGGATGTGTTGAGAGGGACCCAACGAATGCTGGCAGCTACCAGAACCTGGAAGGGGTAATCCGTGGCTTCTCCTCTAAAGTCTCCAGGAGAAGACCCGGCCAATACCTTAATTTCAACTCTGTGACACTGATTCAGACTTCTGGCCTCCAAAACTGTGAGAGAATATATTTCTGTTGTTTTAAGCCACCACGTTTGTGGCAGCTTCTTATAATTAACATAGGAAACTAATACTAATTACTATTGATGATAATTAACCTTTAAATCCCCACATTTTTTTTGTATTTCAAGGGTATATATATATATATAGAGAGAGAGAGAGAGAGTAAAACTTGTTACATCTGCATAGTTATGCCTTCATGAAAGACAAATCCTGTAGTCTATGCAAAAGGCAGTGATTCCCAAATGGAGCTGACCATTGGGATCACCCAGGGAGATTCAAAATTCAAATGCCCAGTCACAACCCTGCAAATGACATCAGAATCCAGAGGAGAGAATCAGGCGCCTGTACTGTTTAAAGATCCCCCAAGGTAGAGCCATGTCTGGGAACCACTGATTTGAAAAGAAGGCAGAAATATTGCTATTTGTGCTTAGACCTCTACCTGTAATTCTAGGTTCCAACATCTTAGGGAAGGGTCCTCACCTGGCTGCCTCTGTGGGCACTGTGAACTAAATGTTTGAGAAACTGCGTCCCCTCCTTGCTCCCTGTCCTGTTTGCACCATAGGTGGGTACTGGTGTCACCAATGACCCTGCCACCTTGACATCAGTGGCCTCTCTGCCTTGCACTCCCTCCATTCTGCTAGCCATGGTCCCCCAAGGAGAGGCCTTCAAAGACGGTGGAGGAGGTTCACAGGGTGGGGCGGAGGGGAGATGAGTGAACTCCAAGTGAGAGCCTTCCCCACCTTCACGCGGAGTTGGCATTTTAAGAAAGATATCCAACTAATATGTTAACAATCTAAGAAAGATTTACTTGAAAACTGATTTCTGCCACTTAAAGAAAATAGAAGAAAAATGCCTGCATCCTAGCTATATGACACACTCCGTGTCTCAACAGAAGATAGTGGTTTCACAGGGGCCAAAACAAGGGGAGCTGCCAAGAAAGATGAACTTCATGAACTCTCCTGTTCTGCCCAGCGCAGGGTGGACGTTAAAGGTGGAGCCCTGACATAAGCCAGAGCCACCAGAAGTCTGAGGGCTCTGGAGGGACACAGTTCAGAATGATAAGTTACTCCTCACTACAAACTTGGAGGTATTTGTTTCTTTTCATTTCATGAGTAAACCAAGGTTCTGAGAGGTTAAGACACTTGTCCAAGGACACTGAGCTAGTAAATGGCAGCTCCTAGATTTGATTCTGGAATTGCTTGCTTATCTCAAAGCCCTTATTAGGCTTAAGTTCTAGTTTTGCCTTTCTATTTTCATCCTACCCAGAGTTTCTCAAACTTGGTGTGTAGAAGAATCATCTGGGCTCCTTGCTAAAGGTTCCAATTCCTAGGCTTAGCTCCTGGGATTTGATACAGCAGATGTGGGGAGGAGTGATCTTTTTTTTTTTAAACAAGCATCCCAGGTGGTTCATATGCAAGTAGGATATAGACTGTACTCCAGAATGACTAGTCTAGGTTTTATGCAGGACTGCTATGTGGAAAGAGCCCCTTGGCTCCAAGAATCTGTTGAAATGGTCCAAGACACTGAGGCACCTACCCTCCCACCCGCTACTTTCTAAAGAAGGACATTTGGGCTAAAGCTGGTTGTAGGGTTGGGAGAGTGGGCTTCTGTTGGCATTGCAGCAAGTACTTGCCAGGGACTGGAGGAACCGACTTCCCACGGGGACTACTTGGCTCCTTCCCGACCCTTCCAACATTCTACACATTCCCATTTCTGAAATGAACAGATAAAACGGTTATAACATTGTCAGAAGGACCCACGTTTAGAGTTGAATTTTTTTGCAGTCAGAATGGCCAAATGCTGCAGTGGCCGTCAGTCTTGTCCACTTTTCGGCTGGCCTGAAAGAGATCATTAAAAACTCACTTATCTGTTGATCTGGCTCTCAGCTGCAGGATGCCTTCTGCTACCGAGGCTCATAATGGTAGCTTTGAAGTCCAGCGCAAGTGTGAATTTACTGTTTTGTAAAGACTAGATTCTTGAACAGGTCATAAATTACCTTGTCAGACAAAGGCTTCTGGGGAAATGTAATGTGTTGAGATCCTTCAGTGGGTGATTATCCTAACACATTGCTGGCAGAGCAAAGAGCTGGCACACAGACACCAACATCCAACAGCTGCCAAACTCCAGAGAAGCGCAGCCATGCGAGGCTTTGAAATCCTAGTTAAACCTTTTTCCTAGGTGAGAAAAAGAGAAAGAGAGAGAATCACATATATATATATATTTTTTTAAATTGGCTTCCTATTCCTTGTCATATTTAGGAGTCTGGAATCCATTAAAATGTAGCTAATGACTAATGGGTTTGGGTGGAACATAAGAAGAGTTCTTTTAACCGTGGGTCCATCATCTTTCCTGCCTGGGTAGGTGGACTTCTCAGAGCTCAGACTCTCACAGTTAACTCGTTGACACGGATCATTGATTGGAAGTAGTTGGAGCGGCCTCTCTTCTCACAGACCTGGTGGGAAACACCAGCCTGGTTAGGAAGCCTGTCTGCTTCTCTCTCTCCTACAACAGAATTTCTGCTCTGTACGGCTCAATGGAGGGGCTTAGAGTGCAAACCGAAAATAAAATTGGGTTCAAAACTGAACTATAGACTTTCTTTTAGAGAAGTGTTGAAAATGTGATTAGAAAAGTAACATATGCTCATGGTAGAGAATTTAGAAAAAGCAGAAAGCAAAAAACAAACAAACGAACAAAAAAAAAAGGAAAATAAAAATTACACTACCCCCAAACCCCAAAAGGGCTACTATCTACATTTTGACTTTTAAAAAAATGAACTTATACAAGGCATATTGATTTGTATTGCTTTTTCATGTGACTAAATATCACTGACATTTGTTCATGTCTTGGAAAACTCACCTACAATATCTTTTTCCAATGATTGTAAGACAGGCATATTCCTGAGTTGTTTAGTTAGATGACAATGCTAGTATTTCTCAAAGACTTGCTTGGTGAAAGGTTTTGAGATATAATTATCTCCCTTTCTGTGGGTCAAGAACATCATTAATTCCTTTAAAATATTTATTAAGGGGGTGGGGTTGTGGCTCAGAGGTAGAGCACTCGCCTAGCATGCACGAGGCACTGGGTTCAATCCTCAGCACTACAAAAAAAAATAAAATAAAATATTTATTAAGAACCTACTATGAGTTGGATACTAGTAAAGGTGCTAGGGATGTAGCCTGAATAAGAGAGACAAAACTCCCTGTTCTCATAGAGATACATTAGCATATAAGAACATGCTTTCATTTTTTTTTAAATTGGTGAACTACCTATTACAATTGAGGATATTGGTTGTGTACTCCAAACTCTTATCAAAAAAAGGCCACTAATGTCATATAAAATCCTCCAAAAATATTGTTAACTACTCTAGAATTTAGAGTCTGTTTACTTACTTTATTAACTCTATCTAGCATAGGACCTGGTACAGAGTCAGCACTTAATAGAAATTAGTTGAATGTCTGACTGATGAGTAGTAGTAACTGAAGTTGGTTTGCTTACCAAATGTTAGAACTTTCCTGGAATTCAGTAAGTGAAATGAAGCTTAAATATCAAAGGCAGCTCTTGTGTTCTCGAACAGGTATCCACATAGGACAGGATAAATGGAATCAGACAGCTTCGTCAGGAGTCCCCTCCAAGCAGAAAGTGCTATGTTCAAGTTCAAGAGACATTCTTATCATGGCACTGCAACACGCCCTCCAGAAAGGAAGGGCCAGGTCAGCTACACACCGTTCAGATGTTCTCAGATGAGGAAAGTGAATTGGCTTGTTAATTCCAGCAGCAAAAGAAACAGTTCTTTGCAGAGAATGTGGGCTTTGGGGAATACATTAAAATACGTACTGTCCCAGCCCAAGACATGGGCTTGATGTATATGGTTTTCAGGGGCTTAGAAACTAGAAAAGGCAGAGATTGGATCAAGTTTTTTTTTTTTTTAAACCTGTTTGATTTGTGTCTGATGCCCACATTTTGACAGATAATTAGCAGGTCATATAGAGTACCTGGAAGGCACTGAAATATTGTAATTTGGGGGTACCTGGCTCTGAATGGTAGTCTGCATGTTAAGAGTCATCTGAAGTTGAATTGTCAGATCTCTGACATTTGCAAAAAATGATCATAGAAAATGTTTGAATATGCTCTAAGGCAGGACCTAATAAATACATGTGCATTGTGGGAACTGAAGCAATAAACCTGTTATTTTTGCTAAGGACTAGCTAACCCATTTGGAGCAGAATAGAAAGAGAAGGAGGGTTTGCTGAATTAGGGAAACATAAAATATGTTAATTTCATTAAAGGAATTTAATATTAATGAAGCATCGATGGTTTCCATAGGTGAGGAGCTTTTGGACTCTGGAAGGGATACAAAAAAGATCACTAGTAAATTGATGGTCAACAAATGGTTCTTTGTCAGATCTCTCACTGACTTTTGTGAAACACTGGGCAAAAAATAACCATCTTTTCTCTAGAATTGCATCACCGAATTAGTCAGTTTTCTATCACTATAATGAAGTACCTGAGATAATTATCTTGTAAAGAGAAAAGGTTTATTTGGGCTCATAGTTCTAAAGGTTCCAGTCCATGACCAATGGGCCTCATTGTTTTGGGCCTGTGTCAAGGCAACATTTTATGACAAGAGTACATAGCAGAACAAACCACTTACCTCATAAGCCCAAAGCAAAAGAGAAAGAAGAGACTGGGATCCTACTCTCCCCTTTGAGGGCACACCAACAATGATCTAAGAACCTCCCACTAAGCTCCACCTTCTAAGGGTTCCTTCACCACCCAGTAGTGCCACCCTGGGAACCAAGCCTTTAACATATGGACCTTTGGGGACATTCATCCAAATCATAGCAGAGAGTTACAGGTAGTGAGTTTTACAAATGGAATTCAGGCCTAGGTTTGTGTTTCAGGCATTTTACTCTTTACCTAGTGGATGAAGGGGACATGCTGCAGCCCAGATCTGGGCTTAACACTTAGGCACTGATACTTGGACACTTTCCTCTCACTCAGGGGAAATGTTCTCTTCTGAGTAGTAACTCATAGTTGATGAATGGGAAAGAAGATTTTCTCCAGATCAAATTAGTTTTACAAGTTCTGTTTCCATGTTTAAGCTGGTGGGAATGGATGTTGCTTCTGGGTCCCTCAAACCTCTTCATATTTCACACACACCTCAGATTCTCTACTTTGAAAACATGCCCTGTGTGGTTTGCGGAAGCCGGTTGGGACCATCAGCGGTATCTGTTGCTGTCCCCATATCCCACTAGATTGCAAGCTCTGGGAGAGAGAGGATAGTAATGGTGTTGGTCTCACTATCAGCTCATCCTCCCTACCTGGCTGAGCACCCAACACACTGCAGGTGCTTGGTGTTTCCCTTCAAAAATGAAAGATTGTCTCATCCTTCTATCGTTAGTTTCTCCTCTTTCCAGGAACATCACCAAAACTAAAATACTAAACTGATGTTTTATCAACTTTAGAACCTTAGCTGACTCCTCACTGCAAGTTAGAAAATATGTGGAGGGCCTCCTGACAACCCTGCCAGCATTCATGACCTGCTCTCCTAACCCTTCTCTGATCTCCAGCTGGGTAGAAATACCCACTCTGGGCATACCACACCTTCATACCTCTTAATTTTTTGAGCTCTTCCTTAAGACTGGAGGCAGACAGATCTCTGAGGACAAGATGTCAAAAAATATTTGAGAGTTTTTCAGTGTCAATTAACATCAAAGTTATGTTACTGAAGATCAGAGAATGCCACCCCCAAATGGGAAATTTCAGGGATTATTTTGAGCTGGAAGCAATTAGCTCTCTCTACCCACTCCCCTTCTGTCTAAAAACAGGACATGAATTTCTCTTTGTGAAAATTGAATACATTGTCATTATAAAGGTCTTCCATTCCCCTCTACCAGAAAATAGAGAATGACTCTTATCTGCATAATTTTATTCAACAGCCCTTGCTTCTTAGTACAGGGATCATTTCCTAATATGCTTTCCATAATTTACCCTTCCAAGCCCTAAGCCCCTTTCCCTTTATCCAGCCTCTTCTCTATACTCATTACCCTTTGTTAGGATGGTATAGAAGATCTCAATTCTAGTTACACTTTTGCATAACTCATCACTAAGTTCTCCCATATGGATTTGCATTTCACACATAAATAAATCATTTTATTTTCTCCTGTTAATCTGTCTTTTATTAGCTGAATTCACAGGCTTTACCCATGAAACCTAATACTATAAAGGAGAGAGGTTTCATTTCTCTCTATATTTTTCAGAGGAGGTGATTATTCAGATTAGCCTTTGCATTCTCATATAAACATGTTGTTACTGAGAAACAGATTTGTGAGGGCTCATTGTTTGAGCAGATCTGTCAAGGTCACTCTTAAAGGTAGATGAAGCTTTTATTCATTGAAAAAGAGAGAGAGAGAGAGAGAGAGAGAGAGAGAGAGAGAGAGAGAGAAAAAACCTTATATATAAATGAACAACAAGAGCCACCATGCTGGAATGTCCTTCACATCCATAAAAAGATCATATTCTGTTGCTTCAATCAAGTCCAATTGAGAACAGAAAAAATTCTGGAACCAATTGGAGCTCTGTCTCCAAAAGAAGGTCATAGACTGAGGTGACTTGGGGGACAAAACTGGTAGTTAAGAGAATGGTCCTGGAATTTGTTGGAAACACCTAAAGGAAGAGTAAGTGGGTCAAAGGGACCTGACCTCTGTTCAGATCTTAGTCTTCAAATCCCTGTGTCTAGCTTAAGATGAGCTCAAGTCCACGAACACACTTCAGGAACCCCCAAGGCTTGTTTGAGTTTCTGTTGCCCATAGCACTGGAGCAAATCCAATTTGTGGTTGTCCCTTAGCCCCAGAAAAAGAAAATAACAACACTTTCCTTTCCCACCCCAGCTTCCTTCCTTTCCTTCCTCCCTGCTCCATCCAAGAACTTCTTCTGTAATTCACAAGACAAAACCCATTTTGTGACAGAGTTGCGTTCTTTTTCTCCTGCAGAGGATGTCTCTAGTCACTATATTTGTACCCATTGTCATGCCAATTCCATGAGAACTTCCTGTTATCCCTGTCACAAGTTAGGGATCCTTTGCTTACTTTCTAGGAAGTAGAGTTTTAGGGGTATGTAGAAACAGGGAAAACCTGAGTCCTCCAAAGAGGTTAGGTGTTGTTCACCAATAGGATCAAAACTAAATTCCTGGGGAATTTTAGCCTCATCTATCATCACAAAGAGTGTATTTTTCTCAGGTTCTGAGTGAATTGGTCCCGTCAGTACATTCTTACCCTTGAAATTTAATTTTGAATTTTCCAGTTTCTCTGTGTGTTCCATAACTCCTCCTGTGATTGGCCCTTCATCTCTCTTCTTCTCCCTTGGGCCACTTGATGTCAGTGAGACAAGTCTAACAGCAACTCCTCTTTTGACGACGTGGGTCCCTGCGGGTATCCAGCAGGTACAAGGAGGTCATGGAAGCAGCAGCACTTGCTGTTTAGTCAATATTTCCTTTTGAAGGTGTGGAAGCCCTGGGTCACCAGCCTGCCTTTGCTTGACAAATCATGAAGATAACGGGAGTGAAGGTGCAGGGCGGAACAACCAAGAGTCTGGGCATGTCTCTGATCACCATCTGTTTGGTGAGCTTGTTATTCCTCACCTTTGAAAGGCTGGCAGGCTGCATGAACTGGTCCTGGGCCCCCAACCACCCAAATCCTGGAGCAAAGCAAAGTTGAGTGACAGATGAAGGGAGTGTTTTGAGACAACATTGCTTTCTCTAATTAGTGCAGAGGAACGTGGAGTGACCTCAGCCTTGCAAAGCTCAGGTATTTCTCAGAAGTGGGAGGGCTGGAAACCTTTTCACTTTGCACAGACTGGTCTGGAAATCTTGAAAGAATCTCATTTCTTTTGACCTAAGGTGCTTCTGGGTGTGTGGTGGGTTGGAAGCTTCTCGGAAACAGTCATTCTCATTTTTCTTTTGGGTCTGATATAGTCTATGCCCAGAAAAGTTTGCATTCCTGTTTTTTTTTTTCCTGCTAGAGATTCCAAGAGAAGGTCCAGACTGCCCTGTACATGACTCCTGAGCATTTCCTGAAAGTATACCTCTCCAGCCTTACCTTGCATACTGGGGAGGAGAAAAAGCAAGAATGTTTACTAAGGTCCAAAGCCTTATTGTGCCCTGGGCTTTGGAAGACAGAAATTGTCATCACGATACTATGGAAGAGAAAACTGAAGCTCCAAAAGGCTTAGATACCTTCCAAGGCCCTACAGCAGGTATCTAAAAGTACAGAATTTGTAGGCATGACTGTCTGGCTCTCAGCCACCAGGGTACTACCTTGCATCCTTTGAGAAAGGGATGGGTGAAGCCAGAACTGTGGCACACACCTGTCATCCCAGCTACTCTGGAGGCTGAGGCAGGAGAATCACAAGATAGAGACTAACCTGAGCAACACAGCAAAACTCTCTCTCAAAAATGAAAAGGGCTGCCAGGTGCGGTGGCGCCCGCTTATACTCCCAGCGGCTTAGGAGGCTGAGACAGGAGGATTGCGAGTTCAAAGCCAGCCTCAGCAAAAAACGAGATGCTAAACAACTCAGTGAGATCCTCTCTCTAAATAAATTACAAAAGAGGACTGGGAAAGTGGCTCAGTGGTCGAGTGCCCCTGAGTTCAGTCCCTGGTACCAAAATAATTAAATAAATAGAACTGGGGAAATGGCTCAGTCAGTGGTAGAGTGCCTTTGGGTTCAATCCCCAGTGTCAAAGGAAAAAATAAGAATGGTTGATAAGAAATACGTTGGTATGAAACAACCTCCTGAGTTCAGCTCTGCCTTAGAAGACGGAAGCAGAAGGGACCAAATAGTGCACATTTTACAGTGGCCTTTTTAACCACAGCACTGACAGCTTGGCAGGACACAGATAGACTAGGAGTCAGAAGTATCAGATCCTGGTTAGACTCTGCTACTCCCTGACCATAAGAACTTGAGAAAATCCCCCTGAACTTTCTGAGCTGATCTTCTCATTGGATAATGGAAAAAATATGACCTGCCTTTCCCACTTACAAGATGGTTTTGAAGGAGCTTTGTGGACTGAAAAGTACTTTACCAACCTAAGAACCTCTTGGAGGGCACATTTTCAAAAAAAAGAGCTGTGATTACAGAGTACTCGAGGCACACTTTATTTTCTCATGATAGGTTAAGGATGTGTTTTAGATGTTTTAAGCCTTCACAGATTCTCATCTTAAAAATACAGGACAGTGAGCTCCTAGGCTTCTCTATGTCTGAATTACAACAAAATAAATGAACACCAATCCTTTGTATTTGTTAGGAAAGACAACTTCTTTTGAAAGTCTTTTCTTGGTAGGTAGTCTTGGTCCAAATGCTTCCCAGTCTAGTTAGATAAGAAATTTAGTATGACCTTCTTTTGTGTTGTTTATTGGCCAATATGTTTCATGCCTCATTTGCCCTCAAATTCACATTTTTATTTGTCAGACTTTTGCTCTGCCGTGTGTGTATGTGTGTGTGTATGTGTGTGTGTGTTTGCACATGCGTATTTACTACACAGTCATAGAAAGCCTCTGCACCACATGATAGCATATTTGCATTTTATTTTGCCAATAATGTGATTTCTACACATCACTTTAAAATCTAGAGCAAAGGAAAAACAATTAGAATTTTGCCTAAAATTAGCAGCCCGTGGCATGCCTTAAATGTTGAGGGTTGGTATCTACTTCACACACATCTTTTAATTAAGAGCATCCTGAATCAGGGTGACCATCCCTGACCTGCAGTCTCTTTCCAGGAACCGTGCATGCTGATAGGTGCCATCAGAGTGCCATCCTTCATGTGAGTCAGTGATTCTGTCATGCCCTCCCAGCAGGCAGGAAAGCTAACGCCAGGTTGGTTTCCTTGCAATTAATGAACAGCAATAGCACATAATTATGGAATTCCTAAGGAGGACTTTCCTGTTAGTAAGTGGAGAGTTCATCTCTTCTTCCTCTTGCCCATTCCCACACCCCAGTTACAAATTGTCAGTGCTGGGGATTTGGTCATTTTTATTAGGAATTTTCTTCATAGTCTTTTTTTTTCATTTTTAATTATTACTGGTAGAATATTTTTAAATTCTCGTAAATTGACTTTAAAAATTTTAACCTCAGAAGTAGACAGTGAAATTCATCACACTTCTCATTTCATGTATTCCTTCCTTCCTCATTCCTCTTCCTTTGTGAGCCTGTGCAGGTTAGCATTTCAGTGTGCTTACTGTATATTGTGTGTCCATCAGCTTTCCATTGCTGTGACAAACACTTCAAATAAGTAACTTAAATGGAGGAAAGTTTTGTTTTTGACTCACAATTTCAGCGGTTTCAGTCCATGGTTGATCAGTGCCATTGACATTGTGCGTGTGGCAAGGAAGTGAATCATGGTAGGAGCATGTGGTGGGGCAGGTCACTCACCTGGCCAGGAAGCAGAGAGTGAAAAGACTGCAGTCCAGGTGTGTCCTTCAAGGGCACATCCCCAGAGACCTAACTTCCTTCCACCAGGCCCCACCTACTAAGGTTCCACTGCCTTCCAAAATTCCAATAATGCCACAAGGCTGGTGACCAAGTCTCTAACACATGAGGCTTTGGAAGTCACTTCAGCTCCAGTCTATAGATTGGAGCTGTGTGTGTGCGCGTGTGTGTGTGTGTGTGTGTGTGTGTGTGTGTGTGTGTGTAAATAAAGAAAGTGTAAATGAGGGTTGGGGTGGTGGAACA